GTTTTATAGAAGATTACAATAAGATAAGATATCTCTTCTTTCAGGAGTCTTTAATTTGTGTTAACAACAAACTTATATTGTTGGCATCCCTTAGTAATTCATTGGAGTAAATTGTCGATTCTATAGAAAGGCAAATTCTTATTTTATGTATCGATATATGAAACACATGTTTTTTTTAAAGAAAAGATGTGTCATGTAATCTACAGGTTTGGAAATACATCAGCAAAAACATCTGATGAAGAAGTGGTACAAGAACAGAATGATGTTAAGCCGACACCTGGGCATGGGCATCATAAACTCCCATGTTGGGGTTATCTTCTTTAAAGCTCACTGGTTTGCTCCGTTTGATCTTCAATTTCTTCTCCTCTTTTTGTGTTTGGGTTTCTGTTTTACTCCATGTTGATTTTGATTTCGATATATATCATATAAGTAACAGTTGAACAAGAACTCATCCATGGAGTTTCTGCCACCAATGATCACAACAACACAATAAGAACAGGTTAATCCAAAGTCAAACACCCTTTTGTGTTTTTCCAAATCCATTTTCAATCAAACAAATCATAACTCTGGATAGATTAATTTCCTTGGATTCAGGAACACTATGGATAGATTAATTTCCTTGTATATTTATTCTATAATTTCCTTATTCTACAAGCTTTTCAAATTTACAGTTTTTTTATATGGTAAATATTATCTTAAATATGGTATGATTTTATTTATTTTTTTCTTATTCTACAAGCTTTTCAAATTTACAGTTTTTTATATGGTAAATATTATCTTAAATATGGTATGATTTTATTTATTTTTTCCTTATTCTACAAGCTTTTCAAATTTGCAGTTTTTATATGGTAATTATTATATTTTAAAAGATAGTATGATTTTATCTATTTTCTACTTATATTTGACATGGTATACTGATATTATTTTGGATATCATACCATATATAAAACATCTTTTAAGTATGGAAATGATATTACATTCCAGAATCTTTATGTCATATCAGCGTTAACCAAATTTATATTTTCCTATATTTTGTAAAAATATATTAACCATCTTATATTGATATTATTTTCGATATCATACAATATTTATGAAAATATTGTATATTTATTATATAATTTCCTTATATTAGACATGGTATATTGATATTATTTTGGATATCATACCATAATTAAAACACATCTTAAGTATGGAAATGATATTACATTCCAAAATCTTTATGTGATATCAGCATTAACCAAATTTATTTTTCCCTATAAATATACTGTCTACGATTTTTCATTACAAATCAAAATTCTCTCTAACCAATTATCCCCTTCCATTGCAGATAATAGTATTCCATGGCATCTAACAATGCAGATCAGGTCGTCTTTGATAAGGTTGCTGAAATCAACGCATCTAAAGAGTCTTGGAACATACGTGTTAAAGTCATCATGCTTTGGAAGCCGACCTATATAAACAATCCTAATATGATCGCAAGCCTGAACATGATTTTAATTGACCAGGAGGTACTGTTTTTACACCATTTGTTTTTTAGATTATCAATTTCTTATGTTATCTCTATTCAAAAAAATTGAAATTCGATTTTTGTTATGCTTTTTTACTTCTATTCATACAATTTTAACAATTTTAATAATCAACTGTATTATTTTTAAAATAAACTTTAGTCTATGTAATGAAATCTCTTATTGTTCCTTTTTTTTAATATTTTTTTTACACTTTTTTATCTTTCATTGTCACCTACAGGGAAGTAGAATTCAAGCAACAATAAAAAAAATCTTATTCCTATATTTGAATCCCTATTCGATGAAGGAGCTGTCCGGGAGATCAGTAACTTCGCTATGGCTAGCAATGAAAGTGAATACATGCTTGTCCCTCATAAACATAAAATCAATTTCTACAAAACCACAAAAGTTCGTGTATCCAATGATTTTGTTGATACAGTAGATCCTTATCATTTTATCTCTTTCCCAGATTTGCTAGCCAGGAACTTTGACACTCGTGTTGCATTTGGTATGTTATGTTGTTAGTTTAACTTATTTCTATACTTCAATTTTTAATGTAATACACATTTGGATTATTATTACTAATTTATTAAATTTTTCACATAGATTTTCTAGGTGAAGTTGTGTCAACTGATCCCATGCGAGTCATTGTTGAGTATGGAAGAGAGAAAAGGTTAATGAATCTGGTTGCTCAGGATTTAAGGTACACATTCGTATTATTATTACACATTCCCCCGTTTATATTTATCTTTCATTAATAACCACCATGCATATTTAGTGGTACGAGAATTGCAGTCGCTTTGTGGGGCAGTTTTGCAATGAAGCTGAATACTTACATTTCACAACATAATAATGACACTGCTCCTGTTATTATCCTGCTACGTTTGGCCAAACTCAAAATTTGGGGTGGTAAGTGTTTTTTACAACAAATTATCATTTCAACTTCAAAGTAATTACTGACAATATTATTTTACTTTTTTCTTGCAGGTCAGCCTCAAGTTGGTAATTGTTTGTTTGGGTCTAGATTGCATATAAATGATGACATGCCTCAGATTTTGGAGTTCAAATCAAAGTATGTTATTTACCATTTTTAACACATTTATCTTACTAAATCATTACTTTTGTTGAATAACATCACTTTTTTGTTTATGTAGTCTTAATGCTTTGGATACGAATGTTGAGTCTTCTAGCCGTACATCCCAGCTCAACTCAGATACCGTTGTGGCTAATCCAGAGGATTACTACCTCCGTTTTCAGATAAAAAACATTGATGAAATTCCTGATTTTAATGAGGTTTACTTAACATTTTTATATAACAGTTTCCGCATTCTATTATTGTTTTGATTTTATATCTACAATTTATATGAAATAATATTTTAATATGATTCCTTTTTTTTTCCTATATATGAAACAGGAAGTTGGTTTAACCATTATCGCTACTATCATTGGTTTTGATATGGATGATGGTTGGTATTCATTTTATTGTCGTGATTGTTCTAAAAAGGTTACTAAAAATGATGATGATGTTGATGCTGACCCTTTTCACTGTGATGGTTGTGGATTTGTCTCTGATGTATTTGGAAAGTAAGTAATTATTATCTCTTTGACTATGCATGTATTTTACATTTTTCATATATTTCATTGTGTATGTCAAGCTAAATATAAGTATTATGTTATAACTTTTAGGATTAGGATAGTAGTTTGTGTGCAAGATGAAAGTGGCTCTTCTTCGTTTGTATTGTTTGAGCGTCATGTAAAAGATCTTATTCATCGTGGAAACCAATGGTTGATGGACAAAATAGCTAAGGTTTTATAATATATCTCCGTTATTTAAATGATTGACATATATGATTTTTCTTCTTTAACTTTTCTAACCATTTTATAATGTAAATTAGGACCAAGGGCGACAACAGATACCTGATGAGTTCAAAATTCTTCTAAATAAGAAGTTTGTCTTCAAAGTTCAGATTTCCATGTTCAATCTGCAGAACAACTATCGTGCTTACACTGTGCATAAGTTAACCGATGATGAAAGGGTTCTTGCTGAGGTGACAAAACGGTCACCAAATCATCAACATGATAATATAAATGATAGTGGTACTCCTATTAACAAGTCAAATAAGGTTGGTAACTGTCTCATATATTTCCAAAGTCAAACCCTGTGCCCTTTCTTCAATATATTTTTCTTTCATTTTTCATGACTTTATGCAAATATGGTATGTTTTGTTTTATATTTTTCTTGATCGATATTTATTATTTTCTGTTTTCTGCAGGAAAATACTAATTCTGTGCATGATGACAATCTTGATGTTGTTGACCTTGAAGCTGTAACACCATCATCGAGTACGGGGAAGCGCCCTATTGAGATTGATGCCAACGCTGACTCTTTGGAGTGGTCTTCTTCAAAAACTTGTGCTGTACGGGATACCTTGAAGATCCCAAAGTTGGAAAAGTTGGACTAATATCAAGCCGCCCATCAAAATTTTACATATCATCTTCGATATGTTTATAGACATTTTCTTTTTAATCTTTTGTGTGTCGCATATTTAATTCTCTGTTTATTGATCTTTTGGTTGTTTTTAAAATTTTATTGAGTTTTTATTTGGTGTGTACACAATGATACAATTGGAGGTTATGACAATTTCAAGTTATTGAACTCTTTTGATTTAATGCATATTTTCTTTCTTTTTTCTTTCATTCATCATTTGATTTTATAAATTTATTATATATATATATATATATATATATATATATATATATATATATATATATATATATATATACACACACACACACACGAAAATTAAGAATTTTTTTTATATATGCTAATTCACCTACTTTTATTTGTCTAAATGGAATTTAAATTTTATTTGCATAAATATACATCGTTTACATATGGTAACACAATAAAATCATAGTCTAAGTATTCAAATACATGTCATCTATATTTTATTTATTCCTACCATAATTATATGCATGCTTTACTTTTTACCTAATTTAAATCATTCTAATATTCAGTTACCTAATTTATATATATATATATATATATATATATATATATATATAGATATATATATATATATATATATTGATATATTTATATTTTTATTATATATGATATTTCACCTACTTTTATTTGTTAAAGTCAAATTTAAATTTTATTTTCATAAATATGCATCGTTTTCATATGGTAACAGAATAAAATCATGGAATATGTAATCAAAATCAATTTTTCTATACTGCATTTATTCCCTCCATAATTATATGAAGACTTTATTTTTTACCTAAGTTAAACCCAACTAATATTTCATTACTTTATTTAATTATATGCAATATTAATTTTTTACCAAATTTAAACCTTTCAAATATCCAGTTCCCTTATTTAAAGTGTTAGAAATCATCATCATCACTATATATATATATATATATATATATATATATATATATACACACAGAGATATGACTAAGAACGTAAAAATTATCAAACATATTGAAATGACTGACATTTCAAATGCTTCGGGAAAGAAAAAACCTACAAGGTTTGTTACTAATGTGTCACCCAACAACACTTCCCCAACAACACCACTGTCTGACATCACAAATGGTAAGATTATATTTAAGCATTCTGTTTGTATTTGAAGTGCTTGAATGTTTATAATGTTCAATTTGTATAACTCATTTCTCTTTATATTTCATATGATATTTTGATATACATACCATTGTTCCTTAGTGAATGCATCATCTTCATCCAATGCTCTAAAACCATCATCACATTCAACATTACAAACAATATCCCACAAAGGTACATATTCTTATATGTTATGCATCTTTTATATTACACTTTCGTTTTTATATTTGCTTATCTGTTGTACTATTAATATTTTTTAATATTTCTCCTCCGTTTATGATACGAATCTTCATTTCAGAAAATAATTTTTTCATACCACCTAATTGTCGAGTTGCTCGAAACCTTTCCGAATTACCTAAGGCTACCTCGTCTCATAACATCATACAACCGAATGTTCAATCCACATTTATTTCCCCAAGATCGCCACTTTCACACCTAACAAATCAAGGTAAAGTATTCTTAATTTCTTTTATATTATATTTACATCCACTTCTTAAATCATATAACGTCAATTTTAACTTCCCAATATATAAACTTTTAACATTTAATTTTTAATACATATATGTCTATAATATCTAATTTGTATAACTATCTTTTTTAATACATATAGGTCTATAATATCTAATTTGGCTAACTATATTTTTCCTTTAATATCTTATTTAATTTAATGTTTATATATATTTTCCTCTTTAGTTCATTCACCCTCTTCATCGAATGCTTTGAAAACACCATCATCTCAGACAATACAAAGAAATTCTCACAAAGGTACATTTTGTTATATGTTATGTCTCTTTTGTATTGCATTTTTTGTTTTTTTTATTTGCTTATGTGTATTAAATTCATATATTTTATTTATATATTTCGCTATATTATCATACAAATTTTCATTTTTCAGAAAATAGTTTCTTCGTACCCCCTAATTGTCGAGTTGCTCAAAAGTTTACCGAATTACCTCCAGACTTTTCCAACAACCAAGATACAATTCAGCACAACACAACTCATTCAACAACAACGAAACGGAAACGATTTAATACACAAGATATTCCATTTTTTGAGTTGAATGAAGATGTCGTTGAACCTTCAGGTACCCATATTGTTCAACTTGATCGTTTATCTATTAATAATGATCAACTTCATCATTCAGTTGTGTTATTATATATTTTATTCATACATACAGTCACACATTTTTCAGTTGGTACCAGCGTTAACTATAAAGAAAAGAAAAAAAGAGGCAGACCAATTTCTACAAAAAAGAAGACACAAATATGTATTCCTTCTACTTCAAATGCTCAGAATGATGTAACCGGTAACAATCATACTAAATATATCGGAATAAGCAAAGGTATTATATCCACACCACAAATTATTTGTCATGACAAATAAAATGTCGTTACCCTATTACATTTAAAGCATACCACAAATATAATTTCGTAAATTTGTTTATTTATTTATAGATTATTTGGATTCTGGAGATGCTGTATATGTTTGCTCAGTATGTAAAGCTAAGGTGTGGCAGGGAGAAGCAATTCGAGGAAATAAGGATTTAAAGAAAACATGTTATTCCATTTGTTGTTACAATGGAAAAGTTGAACTACCCAGTCTGATTCACCCACCTCAGTTGTTGATTGATTTATATAGCGGTCTTTCGGAAAAAAGTCAAAACTTTATACAGAATATACGTCGATACAATATGATGTTCGCATTCACATCTATGGCTGGAAAGATTGATCACACCGTTAACTCAGGAGGTGGTCCTTATGTTTATCGAATGCATGGCCAAAATTATCATATTGCAGGCAGCTTACTTCCCGAAGAGGGTGAATCACCCAGATTTTGCCAGTTGTACATATATGATACAGATCATGAGGTTCAAAACAGATTCAAATCATGCGAGTGTGTTAATACCCTATATTATATAACTCCATTAGTGTTATATATATATATATATATATATATATATATATATATTACTACAAAAAATTTATATCCATTATTTTTTTGATTATGTTATTGTAGGTCTAATAAGAAGAAAAACCACCACATAATGAGTCCATGGCAAATCCGTTTTCTCTTGAGTTCTGGACTATTCACGAGTTGATGGGCTTATTGGATTTCATTAATCCACTGGTTAAACAATTTAGAATGGCACGTGATCGCTTTGGTTCAAATCCAACAGAGCGTATTAGGTTGAAATTGATTGGGTCAAGAGAAAATGATGGTAGGCAGTATAATCTTCCTACCACAAATGAGGTAGCTGCCCTCATTATAGGTGACATTGATGGGTATGATTCAAGGGATATCGTATTGGAAACGCAAAGTCGACAACTTCAACGTATTAATGAGTTGCATCCTCAATATCTTGCACTTCAATATCCTTTATTATTCCCTTATGCCGAAGATGGATTTCGAGTCGATATACTACATCGTGGTGTTGAAGATCCAGAATCTGATGGACGAATAAGGTTGACCATGCGTGAGTTTTTTGCTTATCGTATACAACAGAGAACCGATGAAATATCATTGATATTACGTTCAAGAAAACTATTCCAACAGTTTTTGGTTGATTCGTATACAATGGTTGAAAATGAACGACTTAGATATATTAGGTTTAACCAGCCAACATTACGCGTGGCACCTTATCGCAACTTGGCCCAGGCAGCTGAAGATGGCATTGAAGATGCTTCTTTGATGGGAAACCGTATTATTATACCATCTTCTTTTACTGGCGGCAGCCGTTACATGCAACAAAACTACTTAGATGCGATGACTCTGGTTAAGTGGTTTGGTTATCCAGATCTTTTTTTAACCCTTACATGTAATCCTAAATGGCCAGAAGTCATTAGATTTGTTGAAGCCGAGAATCTTAAACCGGAAGACAGGCCAGATATTCTGACACGAATTTTCAAAATTAAACTTGATTCATTAATCAGTCAGTTGAAGGATGAAAAAACTTTGGGTGAAGTCGCTGGAGGTATCAATCTTATATATTTTTTACTCATTAAGATTATAACTTTTTGATAATTTTATCTTTTAACCCTGGTTGCTTTCTTTGCTCACACAGTTGTATATACGATTGAGTTTCAAAAGAGGGGCCTGCCACATTGTCATGTATGTCTGTTTTTGGAAAAAAATTCTAAAATTCCAAATCCTGAAGACATAGACCGTGTTATATGTGCTGAATTGCCAGACAAGGATAGTGAACCCGATTTGTATCAGATTGTTTGTGATAACATGATACACGGACCTTGTGGCAACGATCAACCATTTATGCCGTGTATGAAAAAAGGCAAATGTTCAAAACGATTTCCAAGGGAATATACCGATCATACGTATATTGATGAAGATGGTTATCCTATTTACCGGAGACGTAACGATGGAAATAATGTCCTTAAAAAGGTGTTTCTTTAGACAACAGGTATACACAAATCCTTTTGAATGATTTACTAAATTTTAATTCCTTAAATTTGTTTCCTTTTTATGAAATATATTATTATATGTTTAAATACATAAATATCAATAAACAACTTAAATTAAAATGGTACTAATATTTTATTTTTAAACGGATAATGTAATCTATAAAAACATATTACTCATTATATATGTTTTCTTATGTTCTTCCTATGTTAACTTCAAATTATCATTTAATGTTGTTTATGACATTTTTCTTGATTTTTCAGGAATGTTGTTCCATATAATAAGATCCTTATGAAACAATATCAAGCTCACATGAATCTAGAGTGGTGTAACCAAGTTGGATCGATAAAGTATCTTTTTAAGTATATTAACAAAGGACCGGATAGGATAACAATCTATTGTTGATCCAACAAAAAAGAAAAAACAACAAATAGAAAATAACGACCATGACGAAATTGGTGAGTTCTATAACTGTCGTTATATTTCCGCATGTGAGGCATGTTGGAGGCTTTTTGGGTATGATATTCATTATCGAACACCGCCTGTCAAAGGTTGTCATTTCACCTCGAACACAAACAACCTGTTGTTTTTAAACCAAACCAACATCTTAATCAGGTTGTTTCTAAACCGACTGTCGCTGCTTCTCAATTTTTAGCTTGGATGGAATGTAACAAGCATGATGAAGATGCACGAAAGTTGTCATACGTTGAATTCCCAACTAAATATGTTTGGAATAAATCAGATAAGATATGGACAAAAAGAAAAACCAAGTCCAAGGCACTCGGTCGATTAAACCACGTTTCTCCCAAGGCTGGTGACATTTATTACCTACGGATTTTGCTGAACAAAATCAAGGGTCCTACATGCTATGAAGATATCAAGAAAATTAACGGAATTGTACATGACTCTTACAAAGATGCTTGCTATGCACTTGGTCTATTAGATGATGATAGAGAGTACATTTCGTCAATAAACGAAACACATCATTGGGCCACAGCTTCTTTCTGCCGGTCTCTCTTTGTTATGTTGATTACATCAGATAGTTTGTCAAGTCCTGCTCATGTTTTTGAAGAAACATATCAATGTCTTTCTGATGATGTCATTCACGTTCGTGAACAAGAAATCGGCGTCAGAGGTAAATACACTAATTTATAGTTTTTTTTATTCAAACTAATTAATTTCTTCTTGAAAAGAAAATCAATTAATTTCAACTTTAAATAAAACGGATACAAACTAATTAACAATAGGTCATATTTAAAGGGCCAGGAATTGCATTTGTATTAATTGCCCTAAAATTTCGTTTTCCCCTACATTTTAATTTGATTCCAAAACAACCCAATTATTGTTCATATACAAATGGTCCTTGGACGGAAGTATATTGCTTAAAAATGACCTTTTTGAAAAAATTTGACATAAAAATAATCAACAATTTTTTTTTGCCATTTTCACACAAAATTGTTCGTTTTCCATCATTTATACATTATGCATGTAAAACTGACAAAAAAGCAACTCGCGATTACATCATTTATAGTCGTTATAAAGGTCTTAACATAAGCCATTTACATAGCTATAACTATATTTAATTTCGTTGTCTATTGCATTTTCAGGCTTGAAGTTAAAAGAGGATGCAATTTTCAACCTTACCTTGTCATACATCGAGAAATCATTATTGAGCTGTGGATTGAGTTTGAAGCAAATACCAAATATGCCGTTTCCTGATCATAGATACATTCAAGAGTCATGCAATATGTTAATTCAAGATGAGCTTAACTATGATCCTGGTGTTATTGAAGTTGAGCATCAAGATTTGTATTCCAAATTAAATGTCGAGCAAAAAAATGTTTATCACACCCATTATGAATGCGGTTAACAACAACCAAGGTGGTGTTTTTCTTTCCTTTATGGTTACGGAGGAACCGGAAAAACATTTGTTTGGAAGACCTTCTGCTGCTATTAGATCCAAAGGTGAAATTGTTATCAACGTTGCTTCAAGTGGAATTGCAGCACTATTGCTCCCTGGTGGTAGGACAGCGCATTCAAGATTTATTATCCCAATTAACTTGACCGAGAATTCATTTTGTTCTATCGCGCCAGACAGTGATCTTGCTGCACTACTTAACAAAGCGAGACTTATCATTTGGGATGAAGCTCCGATGATGCACCGTCATTGTTTTGAAGCATTTGATAGGACGCTTAGAGACATTATCCGTTCATCTGACAGGAATAAAGCGTTTGGCGGCAAGACCATTGTATTTGGAGGTGACTTTAGACAAATTCTTCCAGTAATACAAAGAGGTAATCGTTCGGATATTGTGCAGGCATCGTTACATTCATCAAGATTATGGAGTGAATGTACAGTTTTACGTTTAACGGTAAACATGAGGCTTCAGGTTGGTTGTCCAACTAATGATTTGGATGAGACAAAAGCATTTGCAGAATGGATTCTTAAAATTGGTGAAGGTAATATTGGTGGTCCTAATGATGGTGAAGCTGAAGTTGAATTTCCAGAAGATGTTATCATTCGCTCTACAGGTGACCATATTCATTCAATTGTATCGACCATTTATCCTTCTTTTGAAAATCATCTTGATGACCCATCATATTTTCAAGATAAGGCTATTTTGGTTCCTACAAATGAAGAAGTTGATGCTATCAATGACTACATGTTAGGATTGATGAAAGACGAAGGGAAACTTATCTGAGTTCGGATTCTTTATGTGAGACAGAGTCAGCAGATTGTTTTGAGGAATCAGTTTACTCTCCGGATGTACTGAATGCTTTTAAGGCATCTGGAATTCCCAACCATAAACTCACATAAAAACAGGTGTTCCGGTCATGTTGCTTCGTAATATTGACCAAACCAAAGGTCTATGCAATGGTACAAGGTTACAAATAGTTAGGCTTGGAAAACATGTCATTGAGGCACGCATTATAGCTGGTAGATTCTTCAATGAGACTACTTATACCTCGCATGAAGTTAACTCCGTCTGATAAAAGAATCCCCTTCCGTTTTCAGCGGAGACAATTTCCCGTAGCTGTTTGTTTTGCCATGACGATTAACAAGAGTCAAGGGCAGTCATTATCAACTGTTGGATTGTATTTACGTAGACCTGTCTTTACTCATGGTCATTAGTTTATGTAGCGTATCTCGCGTGACAAGTAAAACAGGCAAGGTACTCATATGTGATGAGGAAGGTCGTCAAACCAATAAAACAAAAAATTGTGTGTACAAGGAGGTCCTTCAACGATTATAGATAAATCATACATTTCTTTTTATTTATTTAGACATATCAATATAATCAATAAAACGACGTGTCTTTATGTTACTTTATCATATTTAATTTTATTATGTTCGTTTTTTATGATATCATCTTAGATAATCGGGGTCCTTGATTGTGTTTCTTTATATGTTTTACACCCTTAAATCAAATGTCTTAATTAATAAACATATGAAACACTCCAAAGTCTAAAACCTGCAAAAGACAGCTTTATTGTTTATTGAATAAACAATTATTTTCCTTTGTTTCTTATAAGTAAATAAATTCATATTATTGGTAACGTACATTTAAAATTTCACTAGGTAAGGAGATATATCCACTAGGTGGATAAATTGAGAACTTTTTTATTTGAATGATATTTACACTAATAACTCAAACAAACCTTGAATACCTACATAAAAATAGAAATGTGCTTCTTAGTCAGAAGTAGATTGCTATTGTGGAGTAGGTATTGACAGTTCATTGCCATTTTAAAATTCAATTTGTGTTGAGATTTTCCTGAAAATGTAATTAAAGTCGAACAAAAAGTAGATAATCTGGCAGAAAGAATATTGTGCTAATATATGATTAACTAAGTAGTTTTGGACCAAGAATATATATATATATATAGATATATATATATATATATATATATATAGATATATATATATATATATATATATAGTTTTTGAGGAGGGGTCTTACTACATTGCCAATTAAAATTCTTTTCTTATTTTTTTTTCTTTTTCTTCTACCATTGATAATCTATTCAAGAATAGGACCACAAAAAAAAAACCCATGAAATCTACAAAAAAAAACCTCCACTTCAAATGAAAATCGAATCAAAGAGATACGAACTCCAGAAAAAAAACTTTCCTTAATTTTACATTGTTGACATAAATACCCTTCAATCAAATTTTCATTATACCATTTCCTGAACAAATCAATCCAATTACAGATGCAATGGCGGGACCAAGCCATATCCATGTCATTCAAACTCCAAGTATTGAAGTATACGAAAATAAAAAAATGTCTGAAAGTCAACCAAAACAGATTTTGACCAAACTGCCCCTTTGTCCTTAAAAAAATGATTCGACTGTGATTAATCTCCAAACATTCAAAGTTCACTTTACGGCATTATTAGAGCAGTACCCATTATCAACCAAAGATAAAAGTAACCAATTGATCTTTTGCCAATCCCTTCGCTAATCCAGTAGCATAACTCAAATTCCCATAGTTAAAAGAACCCAGTATGGCAACTAAGAAGCCAGCAAATTGAAGACAAGTTCAGTAGCATTGCATGTTATCTAAGTGATTTCCTGATCTCTTAGATTTTTAATAAAAATTAACTTTTCAATAAAGCAAAGGAAACATGGAGGCATTAATCGAAACAGTTAGCATGCTTAGATATAACATATAACCAAAAACAAAATAACAGTTCTATACAATGCGTTTTCATTTTTTGGTTCATTATGGAAACATAACATTATTACAAAAAATAAAGAATACATATATGTAACTAAAATTTCATCATCTCTAAGGCTGCAATTATCATTCCCCTAAAAGTGTCCTTTACACTAACGAATCAGATCCATGTTTTCAAATTC